CTCAGGTAAGCATTTGATGAATTTCCATGACACTTTTTTTAAAAACATCCTCATATAAGACAAACATACAAACCTCCTACTCTTTACAAGCTGGTGCTATGTATCACCACACTTTCAGAAACAATGCTTTGGAAATCTCTTTTGGTTTCCTTCTCCACCTTGCTTGAGCAAGTTACACTTGAATTCAACAGGCAGGGAATAATTTAATAATATTTTCCAAAGGCCAAGTGTGTCTTGTCCAAGAAAAATAATGAAGGTTCACTAAGAAATCCGGTAACTGTTTTTCCATCCAACTCTTTCATCCTTCCATGATAATTTGTTAGAAAATTTGTTCTTTTATGTTTCTTACTCAAGTCTGTGGTTAACAAACACCTAAAAGGTAACTTATTTGATGGTGCACAGACATGAAATTTCAATGTCTGCATTTCATAGTTGCAGGATTAAGAGAAATAGCACATCTTTTTAATGCAAATCAAACTTCTATCTTTTTAACAGTTAAAACAATTAGAAGAAGCAGATAGCACACCTCAGAAATTGTGAAGAGGAAGGTATATACTCAATGTCCTTTAAGATACAAGGTACACTGCACGGCGAGAGGGCACGTATCCCATTAGAAGACATGCATGAACAGAAGGAAATCTAAGTAGACTCTCTATGATTAAGGTGGATGGTGACGAGGCCTAGAGCTCACATCTTCCCTTCTAACCATTTCCAAGGGAAGCCAAATTTAGGAAGGAATGCACGACCTTTAGCTGAAGTTCAGAGACCAGCACTCTCAGCAAGGAGTACAACATATCTGACCCCTAAACACTTGCAATATTTCATAACAAGACTTTCTGCAACTCAGTCTTGAAAAGCATGATTCTCCTTTGTTTTAAAGCCTGCAAATAAGTTTGATTTCTAAGCATAAAAAAACCCTATAATTTCAAACTCAACAGAACGTAGAAGAAATACAAACTCTTTTTTCTATGCTTTTTTTTACTGCAAAATCTCACATACTCAAAGAGAGAGAGGAGAGCTTCATATTTTTCATTCCTCAGAATATCAAACAGTTCACAACTTCATTTGCATGTTTCTTTGAAGAAAACAAGACAGGCATGGGGGAAGCCTTTTATTTTTAAACAAACTGTCTGTTTTTAGGTCAATAAAACATGTACTGTCAGGAAGAAAATTTCAACAGCCAGTGATACAATGTTCTTCCTTTCTGCTGTTGTCTGTATGACCACTATCAAGAACTTCATTTCCTTATTTCCAGAAGCAAGAACTTCTACTGACTGGATGTCAAGAATCATAAAGAATTCACATTTACAACTGAATAATGTTTTGAGACCTCATTTCACTGTTTTTCATTCAAATGTGCGAAAGTATTTTGCAAAAAGGTGGAAAAACATGTTCTAGAATCACATTTTTATACTGTATTAATATATATTTTAAAAGATAATACTTTCATGTCGCTAATTTTAGTAACATACTCTAGTGTAATCTTTACCTACAAAAGCTGAATGCCATGTCAATCAAAAATGAACCTGTGTTGGAGTATCTTTTACTAGAAACTAAATGTTGAGCTTCCACAGTTTGATGCCAGCATTCTAAGTATTTGCACTCCAACAATGTCATAGTGTAATCCAGTATGCAAAAGAAAAGGCCACCAAAATTACGGCTGGGATGCAACTCCTCTCTCTCAGGCAAAAAGCTCTCTCTGACTACTTATCATATATGGAAATTGCTAGATGGTATAGTAGAACCAGAAGATACATATAAATAGTTAAATAATAGACTTTATTATTTACAGTATTAACTCTAATTTTATAGTCCTAATTTTTTAAATAGAGAAAAGCTTCCTAAATATGCTGTGTAACACTCAACATTAGGGAAAAAAACATATTTTAGCCATTTTGAAATATTGGTGGCCCTATTATGGACCTAAAACATAGTTCTTTTTCTTCTTATTATTCCATATGACTGATTCAAACTTTATCATTAAAGTTTTAGGATTGACTGGATCAATCCTATAAGTTTAATTATAAAGTTTCTGATTTTTTCCTTTCTGATCACACTTTAGTGAAACTAAGGGAATGGAGAAACCTTCATACTATTATTCATATATGCTAATTCTAAGGCCCTGCAAGGGATAATAATGCAAAATATATTAACCATGAGAAATCAATTTTAAGTTCTAAAAACACTGCTAGTGGTCCAACCATTTGTACGAACATATATAAATCCCAAGGACAAAACATACAGTCGTGGAAGAAGAATTTTTTTCGATTATGCAAAGGTGCATTTATAAAAAAAACAGCACTTCATTATAATTATTTGCTTTATAGAAAATTAGAAAATAGTACAGGAGCTTATTTAATATCGTAATTCGGAAATGGTTATCACACTTTTTGCCAGCAGCAGTTTCTCCTCAATGCCTGACACCCCGTCAATACACTACGCCTGCAAAGTGAACTCCTAAGTGTCCCACCAGCACGACAAGAGTCTGATGCCATGGTAAACTGCTGAAAGGGCAAAACACCGAAGTCCGACACTCAAACAACATTCGATCTTTTTACCTGCAAAAAAATATTCCGTAGTTCAGCAGGATCCGCTCTTTTGGTAGAATGCACCTGTAAACACAAGCAAATGAATGCTTCGCTTAGGCGGGCTGCTGTCAGATCGCAGAGAAACCCGCCGCGCTGGCCGAAGGCGGCAATACGGCGTCCCTCGCCAGAGCCACGGGCCCAGCCTCAGCCGTGACCGGCTCCGCGCCGGTGACAGCTCTCAGCACGGCGCTGTCTGCGAGCGGCGCGGCGCCCCGGCCCCGCAGGACGACCGCCACCGCCACCGCCGCCCCGGGGACCCCGGCCCGCGCCCCCCGGGGCACTGCGGCGGGCGGAGGCGGCGCGACCTGCGCCGCCGCTCCCCCGGGGCCGCCCCGCCATCACCGCCCCCGCGGCCGCTTCCCCCCGCCGCCCGGCTGCCCCCGGCCCCACGCGGGATCCGCCCGGCTCCTCCTGCCACCAGCGGCGGAGCGGGAGAGTCACCTTGACCGCCATGCTGCGCCCGCCGAGGAGGAGGAGCCAGCCGCCAGCCGCGCCGCCGCAGCACCGCCGCCTCGGCGCGGCGCTGTGGGGTGAGCGCCCTGCCCTGCCCCGCCCCTGCCCCGCCGAGCCTGGGGGTACGCGCCGGTGGCTGCTGGTAGCGCCTCCACAGTGCAAAACGGAGCCTCTTTGAGTGCTGCTGAATCTCCTTCTGGCGTAACACGTGCAGCCGTGTCCCTGAGGCTCAGCAGAGGTGTGTGTGTACCTGTTGGTGTCAGGTGCCGAAACTGTTCATAGACTGGTGTTCTGGCAGCTTGGCCGCAAATTGGTTGTAGCTCTCTATTATAAACATAGAACTAGAGGCCCTGTATCTGGCTGAATTCAGTAACTTCTGACAGGGTCTTATAATCCTTTATCAGCAGAGCACACATATGCTTTATACTTCAAAATAAAAAGCATGCAGGCCGAAGTCTTAAGAAAGGGAAGGTTTATACCTTATTCCAGCAGTTCAATCATGGTGCTTATAAAACCTGATTTAAAAATACAGCATACTTTGTCTTGCTGTGCTATTTCAAGGGCCCATCAAATGGTCTTTTGTTAGATGGCACTGGAAAAAGGTAGATTCTGGTACTCCTCAAATAACACAGAGATATACTAAACTAAATACAGTAACTGGTAGCTTATAATGGTGGTCACAAAACAGTGACTCAAGTTTAAAACAACTTTTCTCTGGTAAACAACTTTTTTTAATTACATGTCAACAAAAGCTTTTCTTAGAGTTCATATACTACATATATGCCTATGTCCCAGCTGACAGCAGAAGTTTTGCTAGAAATCTTGCCTATTTGGTAAGCATCTGACCACCCAAGTATGTTGTTCAATAAATCCGTATGTGTAAATGCTTAGCTGCAGGGTGTTATGGTTTACCCTAGCCAGCAGCCAAGCCCCGCACACTCACTCACTTCTTCCCCCACCAGCAGGACTGGTGAGAGAATTGGAAGGGTAAAAAGTAGAAAATTTGTAGGTTGAGATACAAACAGTATAATAGGAAATGCAAAAGCCAGGCAGACAAGCAAAGTAAAATCAGGAATTAATTCACTGCTTCCCATGGGTAGGAAGGTGTTCAGCCATCTGCAGGACGGCAGGGCTACATCACCCGTAGTAGTCACCTAGGAAGACAAACATCATCACTCCAAACATCCTCTCCCTTCTTCCTTCTTCTCCTCACTCTATAGACTGTGTAGGATGCCATCTGGTCAAAAATATCTCTTTGTCACTTGGGGACACCTGTACCAGCTGTGTCTCCTCCCAACCTTTCATTCAGCCCCAACATCCTTACCACCATGGCAGTACTGGCTCCATGTAAGCCCTGCTCAGCAATAACAAAAACATCTGTGTGTTATCCACCCTATGTTCAGCACAAATCCCAGAAACACGGAATAAGCTGAGTTGGAAGGGACCCTCAAAGATCAAACCCACCACCCCCACACAAGCCAGTGTGAAAAGTAATTTTACCCCAGTCCAAACCAGCACAGCAACTCCCACTGTGCATCAAAAGCCAGGCCTCTGAAAGAAAATGGCAGAAATCCCACTGTAGCTGCAGTAAGCAGATCGGTATAGAGAGTTTTGTTTTTTTAGTATTGACAGAGCTGCGGCTGTTTGCTCGGCCAAAGCGTAACTGCAGCAACGAACAGCGAGCTCTGTCCGTGAGGGAGGAGCGGCGGCGGCCGCAGGGACCGCCCGCCCCGGGCCGCGACGCGCGCGGAACCACCGCACGTGACAGCGGCACGAGCAGCGCTGCGCACGCGCGCCGGCCGGCCCGCGGTCTGGGGAGGGCGGGGCGGGGCGGGGCCGGCACGCGAGCCAGCGCGAGGCTCGAGGCGGTGCCGGGCATGCGCACGGGCTGCGCGCGCCGCGCGGGGCAGCCATTGGCTCCCCTCCGGGTTTCGGCGGGCGGAAGCGGAAGCGCGTGCGCGCGCTCTGATTTCCGGCGGGCGGGCGCGCGGGTTGAGTGGCGGCGCGGGGCTCGGCCATGGCGGGTGAGTCCCGGGCCGGGAGCGGCAGCGGGGCTGTCCGAGCCTCGCCACACGGGCTGGGGGCCGGGCAGGAGAGCTTGAGCTCGGGGCCGGCGGATGCGGGCGGACGGGAACAGGCTGTGAAGGAGGGGAGCCCGGCTGCCCCTCCGCCGCCCGGCTTGCCCCTGTGCCGCCCGGCTTGCCCCTGTGCCGCCCGGCTGCCCCTGTGCCGCCCGGCTGCCATGGTCCTGCTCCTGCGTGTCTGCGGGCTTATGGCCCCCACGGTCTGGTCGTGTTAGACCAGAGCGTGTGTCCATAGCCACGAGTGTGCTGGCGGTGGGCAAAGAGTTAAAAACCCGAAAGTTAAAGTTTGCTGCCTGGAGTAAGATGTAGAAGAACTTTCTTATGGCCCTTTGAAATGAAGGGGGGACTATGTTTGTGAAGCATTTGGAACATACCTGAGGTGAAACGTGTCTTCTGGCCTATATTAGGCTTTGGAAATCACATGAAATACAGTGCATTTATTTGTGTTTTTCTTCCACATCCGTTCCGTAAGAGTAGTGCTGGTTAAATAATTGCTAGTGGTGTACATGCCACTGTAGTTCATTAATAGCAGTTTATGAAATTGACTTAATGCAAACACTTGAAGTGTGTTGACACGTGTTATTTATAACATGTTATACTGAATTCTTATTCAGTGTTGCACGTTATTAGTAACACACATGAAATATATATTTAATTTGTAGTAACTTAGAATACTTAATATTTTTATAGTAATGACTTTAATTCTCAGAAACTAAAATGAGATACTTGTATGTTTTCTAGTTCCAGAAGAGTGTGTGAGACAGCTCTCTTTATCCTCTGTATTGATGTGTTGTGGCATGTTGTAGCTGTTTTAATCTTTCTTGTTTGGTGGTCTAGTGTTATGTGTTTTTTCTTGGTTTATGACCCTTTTTCTAATATATTTTTTGAGTAATAATGACAAAGAGATTGGACACCTCTTAAAAAACCCTTTTTTTTTCAGGACTTACTGCTATGGAGAAGAAGCTGGCTGAATACAAGTGTAATACAAATGAAGCAATTCAGCTGAAGCTAGGTAATACCACTTTTTAAATATTGTACAAGTGATACTGAAGTATTCCAGTGTCTTTCTGTGGAATATATACACGTATACATCTGTGTCAGTTTCTCAGTCCTAGTCTGATTACTGATTTGATACTCATAGATCAAGTAACATTAATCCAAATTGTATAGGATGCCTTGATTTCATTTGTATGCCACTCTCACATTGTTTCTTAACTGAAGTTGTCTGACTCTAGTGGAAATGTGTGTGAACAGCTCGCAGGGCTTCTGTGGATAAACAGATGAAAGGTGGTGACTTGGTCATGCTCTATTTTTATTTTCTCAGTTCGCTTTCCTGAGGATTTGGAGGATGAGAACACAACATTTAATCCAGAGTACAGCCATCAAGTGTTTGGAGATGAGTAAGTCAAAGTTTCCAGATTTAAACTAGTAGGTCCCAAAGGACAAATTTGTTTCCAAATCATTAAAAACCATAACTTTTTGCTAATATGGAGTGCAAGGTAAGAAGTGCTGGCCTGGTGCTGCTGCTACATTTGCTGACACAGGCCAGGACACCTCTGGCCTTCGTGCACCTGGGCACACGCTGGCTCACTCGTGTGTTCAGTCGAGTGTCGACCTGCACCCCCAGCTCCTTTGCTCTGTTCTTCCCCAAGTCTGTCACTTGTTGTGACCCAAGTCCAGCAGATCAGCACTCCTGTCCAGCCTAGTGTTGACTGCAGGCTGACTTAGGAAGCATTCAGATCACTGATAAGACATTAAATGCGACTGTCACTGAGCCGTGGGGAGCACCACAGGGGAACAGCTGTTGGGTGCTTTTGACTCCATTCCACACCACTCCTTGGGCATGACCATCCAGACACTGAAGAATGCACCTGTTCAGGCCATGAGCAGCCAGTTTCTCCAGAGGAATGCTGATATCAAAGTCTTCCCTAAAGTGTAGATGGAAAAGTATTGTTTCTTTTATTTTGGATATGCTGAATTAATTAGTGCTGAAGTGTCATTTATTATTTTCAATAGTGTGATATTCAACAATCTGGCCATAGATTTAAAAAAAAAACTAAAACAAACAAAAATCCCCCCCGAAACAAACCTAAAGAGAATCCACCTGCATGTTTCTGTGGACTTCAAGTAGTTGTGTTTCTTAATTTCAATTTCCTTTTGAAAGCATTCTTAAGTACTTCAATTAGAATGAAATACCTATATTAAATGTAATAAATTTGTTATACTAATAGCATTATTGACAATAATTATAATTTTAGTAATCAGAATTCTCCAATCTGTTAATTTAGCTAAGAAGGAAATTCTTCTGGCACTTAATATTTCAAATTTTAAATTATGAGTGTACTACCATAAAGGAAAAATCCCAATAAAAAAAGTTTCAGCTATGCTTCAACAACAAAAAAAAAATTGGCCTGTTTCTTTGTGAACATTACTATTTTCTGCATGTGTTTTTCAGAAAAGAAATTCTCTATTCTTCATAAGAGTATCGAATTTGTGTTCAGGCAGCTCGTATTTTCAAACTGTAAAAGAGGCTTTTGTATTCTATCCTTCTTTTTGCAGGTACTAATTTCTGGTTAGATTGGATAACTAAATAGAAACTGTCAACCAAAAACTCCACAAATTGCTGCACCTGGTTATCTGTGCTTTGTACATTATAGATTGCAGTCGTTTACTCCAAAATATTATACTACACTGCAAAATAATTTTTAATAAATATTGGCAATCAATTAATGTAAATAACTGTTAATGAGTTAAAGTTGTTGAAAAAGCATAAACACAGTATGAGCTGTTTCAGTATTCTTTCCTGTCACAGTAAGGACACAGGCACTGCCTTACTGAGTTCAGAGTATTTCCTCTAGAGGAGCGAAATAATAGAAGCAGTGTGAGGCATTACCTCTGTCTGTATAGTACACATCCAGTTTGATTCCCTTTTCCTATTAGGAAGCTTACTTTACCTTACTGGGGAAGATTATGCGAATGTCACATGAAATGAAGCAACTGTGATGTGAATGTTTTGTTATGTATCAAGTTCCTGGTTGTTATTTTCTCCTTTCTCAGTGAAGTTGCTTTTGGCTACAAGGGACTCAAGATCCTCTTGTATTACATTGCTGGAAACCTCTCAACCCTCTTCCGCATTGAATACACGTCAAAAGTCAATGAAAAGTTTGACTGTGTGGAGGTAAGTGCAGGTCTGCTTCTGTCTTTAACATAACATTGAGAAGGTTTACTTCGGTTCTAGGTTTAGTAATTACCCACCTAGACATGGTTTAAATTAAAAGGAAAGAAACAAAGCTTCACTTTGCTAAGCTAATAAAAAGCTTTGAATTTCTCATTCCCTGATGACAGTACAATCAAAATTGTGTCAAACAGAACAGTCAGATGTGAGGTGTTGATGCCAAAGCCAGTTCTACAAAATAAACTTCAACTTGACAAGTCTGTATTTTCATATTAACTGTGACCAGGAGGTGGACTAGTACTGATGGGGTTAACGATGGAGAGAATCAGTGAGAAGGAAAAGGAGGTTTCTGTAAGAACTTAAAGATAGTATGCTTGACTGTGTCTCTCTAAACATGGAGAACAAGTAGGGCGGAAAAGAGATTATAAACTTCTGTATGGGTATCGTGTATGCTTTACATCTTTCTTAAAGGAATGTGATAATACAGTTACCTGCAGGGTTTTTGTTTGGTTCTTTCTTCTTTTTCCTGCAGGTTTTCTGAGCTTATCAAGTTCTTGTAGAATAGCTTTTTCCTACTGGCTGTATGTTCTCCAAATATGACTTGAGACTGCATTTAAGTTACTACTTTCAAATTTATTGGAACTTACTTAAATAATTTCAAGGAAAGGCCTATTGTAAAAGGAGAAATACATTAGAATTACTTCATTAAAATGATTTTAAAGATTTGCCCTTCCTTGTTTTGAAGGTGTATTGGCATATACTCAGTTAAATAGGCTAAGTTCCTGGACATATCTGAAAAACTTTATAGGCTAGAGCAACATGTCTTAGGAGTGAAAGGTCATGCTCTTCAGTTTTAAGAAGGAAAAAGGAAAAAAAGGCTGTTGGCTGTATATTGTCCAATTCTTCACTGTTAGAATTTCAGAATAGAACAGGAATCTGCCCTTGGCACTTTTTTACTTCATCTATTTTTTGTACAAATGGCAAACCCTGTTTACTTCTCTGGAGGTCTAAACAAGGTCTGTCTTGCCCTATGCACACTGCAATTTTTTGATTAATCAAAATGGTTGCTTTTTTCAAGGCCTGTTTCCTATACTGAATTATTCCTCCAATTCCTTTAGGGACTGAGATGGGGGCAAAAAAGATCTTTTTGAGCAGCACTTGTGTTTGCTTTCCAGAGCATTTACATGCCTTGACTGAAGGGGAAGAATGTGGTTGCTTACCTGTGCTTACCTTAGTGTTACTAGTACTGTACAGTCAAATAAGCTGCTTATATTGCTATATCTAAACATATGTAGGAAAAATACGTAGTCAGTCTTCTGCATTTGTATTTGCTGTCAGTTTAACCAGCCTAAGGTAACTCATTTGCAGAGATTAAAACATAAGCTGTCATTACAGCAGGATGTTGATTTGAATGCATATTAACATGTATTTTTCCAAGATAACTATTTATACTGATCTTTCCTCCTTGATGGTAATTATACTAAGATGCAGACTATCTACCACACATAACAGATAATCTTGTGCAGTGAATAGTTGATGTTTAGGAAAAGACAGCAGTTTCTGCCTTTACCTAACTGGTTACAAGCAAGTTGGTATTAATGCTCCACAAAGTTATTCACAGCAGAGGATTTTGTACCCAAATACCCATACAAGCTCATTCAACAGCAGGTGATTTTATTCTGTAAGACTAAGTTTGGTTTCATTATTGCTAAAGAAGTTGCTGCTATCCCTGCTAGGGACTGACAGAAATATTTATCCCAATACCACTTTTTTTTTTTTTTTCCTCCAAGATCTTTTTCAACATTCAAGATACAATCCTGAAATATCAAAAGGCAGAAGTCCAGTCATGTTTATGCATCTTAACATGGTTTAGGTCCATCTTTAAGGAGATTATTACTGGAGAAGCCTCAGCAAAGTATGATCATGTTTTGAACAGAAGTTGGCACTTCATTTAGTGAAAATAGACAAAATTTATCCCTTGAATGGAGTTAATTCTTTCAAATAACTGAAGAGAAACTGCTTTCTTTTGGTGTAAATATTAATAGCAATGGCCTTTGAATTGTTTGCTGCTTTGAGATTTGCAGCTGTTCCGGTATCTTCCTTTTTTCTGCATTTTATAATGGGATGGGTATAAAGTATTTCACTAAACTCTCTATCTTGCTTTGCATCTAGTGTATGCATTTGCTTTATACAAAAGCTAAATTAAAAGTATTGTTTCAATATTTGGTGCTTTTGTTAGGTAATACTGCTGATCACTCCATTTATCCCCTCTGAAGTACGTGCATACAATTTTTAGAGAAATTCAACTCTCAAGTATGCTTCTATAGTTATTTTAATTTAAGCCACTTTGCAACAGCACCTACATGGTGTGCGAATGTCATAGCTGCCTATTAGTACAATAATTTCTAAACTAAAATTACCCAGAGTCAAATGTGATGTATGAAGATACATTACCCACTTAAGCAGTCCTACTACAAATCAAGTGTAGTTACAAGCCCATACCAAATTTCCTGTCATCACCTTATGTGTTTCTGATTGTGAAGGTAATATATTACAGGCAGCACTTCCAGGAACCATAAGCTTAACAACTCTTGGCTGGCTTAATTCAGGTTTTTGCATGCTTTGTTGTTGTACTACAACATGAAATAACTTACACATTTATGTTAGTTATAAAAGAGGGAAAAGAGAGGAAGTTTATTTTGACCTTGCCATGTATAGAATTTTAAAAGTGACAGTGGATTGGAGAATCAAATTGCTACTTCTCTAACTACACTGGTTAAACTAACAGTCTATCAATTCTCTCTTCTCACAAAGAAGAATGTAAAACAATCATTGTTTACATGAACAGTGTGAGAAACTCTAGCAGAAATATGTAAACATCAGAAGATATAGAAAACTTTTAGAAGAACTTTAAAACTTTTAAAAGAACAGAGTAACACATTGTAAGTTGCTTTGCCTATGTTAAGCATTGCTGTAGTAGTCAACAGGATTGTTTTTCTGAAGAGAAATTCGTGTGCATCCATTCTGTTTGGTAAGCTATGAGTATCTTGCTCTAATAAAAAAAAAATTAGCCTTTCACCAATATCAAAAATGCACAAGGGAGGGCAGTAAATACATATTGGTAGCTCCTTGGATTATGGGCACCTCAGAGAGAAGTGTTTGAAAAGGACCTACTAAGTAATGGATGTTTCCATTTAAAAGTACATGTTTGAATTAAATTATTTTTTGTGTGGTTAATCTATTGAGATTCCAGTGTTTCAGGTCTCATTAACTGAAAATTGCATTACTTCTGTCACTGCTCAAACTGAGGATTCTGGGATTTGCTCTGTAAGAAGGAGAGATTCTGTTAACCCTAAAAGTAATTGAAGACTGTATTTCCTTGTCAGACCCCATTACAAGGGGAGAGAATTTTTAGGAAGCAATAGGTGAAAATATGTTGTAGTCATATTAGAACCAAGAAGTATCATCAAGTGCTTTATTTGCTAAGCCTCTGGCATATTTTAATTCTTTCTGCTGTATTGAAAACAAGACTCCTCTGGTGGCAACCAGTGATGGGTGTGCTACCTTACAGGCCTTGTGCAAGTCACAGTTTGACTTCCTTCTTACCACTAATGAAGAAAGTTAGAAATGTGAGGGGAAGCAAAATTACTGAAACATTATGTACATAGTACTTCTTACTGTATATTCACCTCTTTTAAAAGTCATCCACGTTGTCTGTGTTCAACATTTTTATTGTACTGTTGCGTGGAAATACTATTTTAATTCTGGATTATTTTTGCATGCTTATTCAGCTATATAAAATGCAAATTGCTACATATAGTTGTGATTTCTTACAGCTCTGTCAGTAGTGCAGACATAAGAGTTGCGTAAACAATGCATTTTCACAATTTTAAAAAAGGCATTTCTAAATTGTGTTCCATATAAATATGTTTTTTAATGTAATTCATTGATTCGGAAGAAGTGGCTGGTTTTGTGTAATCTCTTAAATCAGTAAGTGTAAAGAAAACTTATTTTAGCTAATACTGGTTTATGAAGAGTGGTGAAGGTGCCAACAAATTATCTTTGCTTTGAGAAGGAAATGAGTGTAAAGACTGCACATGTTTTTACTGAGTTCCTACATCAAGTATTGTAGAGCTGTATTTTAACTGCTTAGTACCTCTGTCTCCAAATATAAATATAAATGTTGGTAGTACCAAACCATTAAGAATAAAACTTGTTTGTGCTGAACTATGTCTTATCTTTCTCCACACTAAAAATGTAACTGAATGATAAAGTGCTATTCATTTGCAGGTGCATTGCTTCTGCTTAAGGGCCCATGGTTGAAAGGACAGGAATTAGTAGCATGTTGTATTAGCCTTTTGTAGTGTATTTTGTTCTAAGCATCTTAATTTCCCTGTTTTGAATGCTAAGTAGCAAGAGTCTTGGTTTTGAACTAATACCCATCATGCATGTAAACGGTGTGAAAGAGCTGCTTAGTAAGTTAACACAAAGTGTTCTTGTGTCCGCCCTTGTGGAAATAGATACAATACAAACATTACAGCTGAACTCACGGCAAACTCCATTAAGTAAAAACCTGGATTCATTGTCCAGAGGAAAGTTTGAATTGAATGTAAGCTCATTTTGTTGAATGTAATGTCAGGCTTTTAGGGGTTGTATTGAGGAGTATGGTTTTGTTAAGTTGAGACCAATTCATTAAGTTTTATTGCCTGGTGAGAAGCAGTAATACGTTATTGTGAAGCTTCATCAAATATTCATGGTTAAAAAGAAGTAGTAAATGTATTCAATCAAGTGGTCTTTTGGGGGTCTGAAAAGGTTTATGAAGTCTGCTCAGCTGATAGTCTCTAACTTTCACTATCTGAAAAGAATAATCTCTGAATTAAATTTTGGTGTCAGAATATTTTGTCTTCCACAGTATGTTAGACTACAGGTCAGATTTGCTGACAGTATTCATAAGTTGTACTATTTTATGTCAAACTTTGTTTTCAAAACTTGCTTTTATTAGAATGCAGGATGTGGTTGTCTGAGTTTGTACTGTTTTGCAGCTGATTCTATAGACAGGCATTTCAAGCAGGGGGCCGTAAGAATGCCAGAGTGTGCTAGCTGTCACTTTCCTATTTGGGAGCTACCGTTTTTAGTCTTTGTCCCTTTTTCTCTGCTTAGTTCTGCATCACCTAATACCTCTTGTAAGCTGCTTGTTTGGGAACCTGTGTTCTACAAGGCTGTGTAGCATAGCATAGTCCTGGTGAATTGCTGTCTAGAAAGTCTTGCCTTCTGAACATGCTGCGCCTACAGAATAGCTACCAATGCTTTTAGTCAAGCTTGAACAAATATAACAATCTCTAAGCATAAAAATGTTCATGAACTTAGGCTATAATCAAGAGCTTTTTGATTCTTAAAGAGGCTGGATTGTGACATTTTTGATCTTATGAGTGTAGCTCCTTTACTTGTTGGAAGATCACTAATGAACAGCAAGAATGCTTGCTTTTCTTTTTTCTCTTTCCGTTTTGGCTTTTTAATTACTGATAGATATAGTACCATTGATATAGTGCCATGGTAGATATAGATATGTTAATTTCTTAAACACAGCAGTGACATCAATGCTGTCTTTTTCTAATTTTCCACTGATCCTTCCCCTTTTTGTAATCTTCAGGCAGATGATGTGGAAAGTAAAATTAGAGAAATCATTCCGCCTGGTTTTTGCACAAATACAGATGACTTTGTGTCTCTGCTGGAGAAAGAGGTCAACTTCAAGCCCTTTGGAATGCTGTTGCACACATATTCTATTCATAACGAGGAAGCTGGTGAAGATATAATATATCAGATATACAAGGTATGAAAAATTAAGTTTATACTTTTGAGCAACCAAATTCAACTTTATTTTGCAGAGATGCACCTTCTGTAGTGACTCAACTGTAGTGTATAAGTACTATAATTTTACCCATTTGTAAATGATTAACATACTTTTTTATATCAGTGAATTTAATTAGGTTTTTCATAGTTCTTCCCCTTGCATCTGTGATAGGTTTCACCTGACTTCTCCTGGCTTTTTCCCTAGGCTGACATGACATGTCCAGGCTTTCGAGAATATCATGAAAGGCTTCAGACGTTCTTGATGTGGTTTATTGAAACTGCTAGCTTTATTGATGTAGATGATGAAAGATGGAACTACTTTCTAGTGTAAGTACAGTTCTAAAGCAACAGTGGACCTTATTACCTCCACAAAGCCTGCATTTTAATTGTGGCTGGCCAATTATTGGAGCAGTATAATGATATTTTTCCCAGGAAAGAAAAAACATTGTTTATGAGGCTTGAGTTTTCCTCCATTATGCTTTGGGAAAGCTTGAGAATAGAGCTGAATTAAATGCTGTTGTCTGTTAGAGCCCTGAATGTAGGCTTAAACAGTAAAATGAGCTTTGCCTGTGTTTTCTTTTACTTGCCACCTATTCATCTTTATAATAGGCAAGTGCACTGAAGTGCTGTAAAGAGGTCTGATTTATCCAAGTTGCTGCACACCAATTAAGTGAATTGTACATTCAGAACATAGCAGGTGTACCCATTGGGCCCTCACAGAGTAGCTTGCTGACACTGAAAATTCAGTTGGAGAATGGAAAAGAAAATGGACACTGCATGGGAGCGCAACTGTAATTGACCTGCTTGGCTTTCTGTTTTATCTGCAGATTTGAGAAGTATAATAAGGATGGAGCTACGCTCTTTGCGACCGTAGGCTACATGACAGTCTATAATTACTATGTGTACCCAGACAAAACCCGGCCACGTGTAAGGTAATTGGTGGTGTAACTCGTGCCTTGCCTTTTATTTCAGAAGAGGGAACTGCTGAAGTTCCCAATACTTGTTTATAATAGTGTTGATTTGTTTAAAAAAATCCCCATTATTAGCTGTCTATGCACTGATTTTTTTCATTGTTCCCTTCTTGAAGCGGAGGGAATCTCAAACAAGTTTTGAATATTTAACAATTTTAAGATCCTGTTAAAAACTACATTTTAACATGAAGATTGCACATACCTTAATCTAAAATGAAATTTTGTTTTGTTATTAAGACTTCATGTTGTTTCCAAATGCTTGCATTTGAATTGAAAATGCATTCCTTTGTCTGTAGCCAGATGCTGATCTTGCCGCCATTCCAAGGAGAAGGCCATGGTGCTCAACTGCTTGAAACAATTCATAGATACTATATGTCTTCTCCTACAGTACTTGATATAACAGGTTTGTATTACATTTTTAAGAAGGAGCTTCACAGGTTGTTAGCCCACAAGCTAACTTTTATGTTCATTTGTGTGAATTTAAAGCCTTTTGAAGATTTAGCTTCTGCTCAGTTCAGGATTAATAAGTACCCTGGTTTACAGAAGTGTATATGGTATAGCTCCTTAAATACTTAACTGGGAGAACAGCACACCAGGAAAATTCAGTCCCTAGTGTGAACGGATTACCAGCTAATTAACTATTTCATTGTGAGATACACAGCTGAGTTTGCCAAGAGATCAAGCTTTGTAAAGTCCTTGTTCAACTTACCCCTATTAGCCAAAACTCAAACTTGAGGCGAGACACAACACACCTAAATAAAATAGCATATTTAATATTGGTGTGCAAGCTGAAATTTTACAGATAGTAAGAAAGTTTGTAGAGAACTCGTTCTCTAGGAGCACATATTGCTGGCTGAAGGTATCCATGATATTAGATGTGTGTGCACAAATACCTCAAACAAAAGATTGTGGAAATGGCAGATAAAGGGTCCAGGTGAATAATAAAACTAACATGGAAAATTGCTACAGGCATGACATCAGTCCTGTGGTTTCAAGTCCAGTATAGGAAGAAATGCAGTTCAAACACGTTTACCATTCAATTCTATGTGTAGTCTCATCTTGCTTATAAATAATTCTCCATTGTAATTAAAACCCAACAGACCACTTGCTTTCATAATGTGTTGTTGCCAGATCATCATAACAAAATAATCCACCTCATAATTTCAATCCGGTTTGTGGGAACCTAGGAAAGTATAGTTTAGTTCATTCAACAGGAACTCATGTGCATCATGCATTTTTCCTTTTAATAGTACAAACCTTTACATAGCTTTTATAATTAAAAATGAGCAAAGTCTTAACATGCTAGTGCATAAATCCTATGACATGTTCATAGCTCAGTGCCTTAAGTGCAGGGTTGTAGCAAACAGTAAATGTGCACTAAAACATTGGTCCATTTTTTTGTGGAGTGAAGCAGGAGAAGGCTTGCAATATTCTACATGGCATGCAAGTTATGAAAGTTAAGACTCTTTGAGAAGTATTTATTGTCCTTTTTGAGGGGGACATTGGACTTGGACTAACTTAATATGGCCAGAGTATTTAGTTAAATATAATCTAAAATTGTGAAATAAAACCTTTATTAAGTTCTGTAAAGAGGAAATGAAGATCTAATCAATTACTTTGAAAAAGCTAATTTACTAATTAAAATTATTCTTGAGTTTCACGTTTGCAGCAAATACTTTGTTTTGCTTATACCTTGTCATCCTGACACAAGCAAAATGTATGCTGCTAGTGCTTACTGGACAGAAACTACCTCGTTCTTCTTTTAACTACTTTGAATGCAAAAGAAGGAATCAAGTTACTTTAGTGCACTTATGCAATCTCTTTAGCAGAATAAATGCTCTAAGGCTTGCCATACAAGATTAGACAACTCGTGCGCAATAAATTTTAACCCAACCCAGAAAAATAAATTGTTAGTTGTGCAGTGCCACATACACCACATGGCAAAAGCTTCTATCCCAGTCCTTCTTGGTAGCTTTGTTTTGCTTTTAATCATCCTGAAACTGCAAGTTTTAACTATTTACAGTGTACCTCAAAACTAAAGGAAAACACAGCTGAGATGAAAGCTGGTTAGCAATAAACTCCACTATGCCAGCTCCCAGAAAAATGAGTGTTGAAGGGGAAGCATGGCCCTGCTACTTGTTTGTAGTGATCTTGTCTAAAGCAAGCAAAAATGTTTGTACATATTTTTCCTTCTGCCATATGGCCTCATGTTGATCTTAACTGTGGCTAGTTCTCCATTTCAGTGTTTTTTTCTATAGCAACAGTTTTGATAGCTATGCTCTCTTTTTTAAGTAAAATGAAAGTAACTTGAAATCACTATCAACTTTTGCTTAGATCCTTTCAGCTTTTTAATTTTGGATAATCTTGTCCTTTGGCTTCTTGTACCTTTTCCTTGCTAATAAAGATTAACTCCTGCTCAATACATGTCTTCAGCTAGTTTACTTGTATACATTAAGATACTTTCACTAATCTTAACCCACGTTTTCCCTTTTGTGTTTTAGTAGTTCTACTACTGTCAAATATAAAATAGATTAAAGATACAAGAAGAAAGGTTTGAAGGCTTGTCTTTTTCCAAGGAGTTAAATGGCTTTAAACAAGTTTGTTTCATAATGCATATTTACAATACGTACAGCACTACCTACACAAAATATCAGAAGCTTCTCTTAATGTGACCTGTTTGTCTACTGTCAAACATCAAAACCTTAGATAACAGTGCTTACAATTAAGCACAGTTGTTTATATACTGATGAATACTGCATCTGCTTTTGTTTTCCACAGTTCTTTGTAATTACATACCAGAGATAAGAAAACAAATAATGCTGATAAGCTTTTTTTATTCTTTCTAGCTGAAGATCCATCTGAGAACTACGTGAAGCTTAGAGACTTTGTTCTTGTAAAGCTCTGTCAAGATTTGCTTTGCTTTTCCCCAGTAAAGTTAATGCAAGGTTTCAGTCAAGAAATGGTGACGGAAGCTCAGCAAAAATTGAAAATAAATAAGGTATTAAATCAGTACTGTTGTAGTTGGAAATATTCTTATTAAACTAGTACAATACAGCTTAATCTTAGAGAGGGACATGGAATTTACACACTTGTTTATTTTGATACTTGTTAAAGATGTATCAGGAAATATATGGTTCATGATTTTAGATAAATGCCTTTTTTACCTACAAATTTTAATGTAGAATTTGACATGGTTTTGATTTCTTTCAAGAGCGTGCAAGTAAGTGTTGCTTTGGGAATGCAGAATGCTAAAGTGGCAAACAACTTATTAATGCAACTCCAAACACTTGGAGAACTAAAGAGTTAAATTGAACAATTAAATTTGCTGGTAATCTTGAATTATTAAACTCATTTTTGAGTATGGTAGTGAAATAGCAGAGTTGTTTAATTAAAAATGTATTTGAGTGTGGTGTACTGAAGACTTTAAACCATGAGGGATGGGCAGTGTGAAGCTATATTCAGATGTGTTCATGAAAATGGTATAGCATATATAAGTAAACTACATCTGCAGCCTTCTTTATTTTAAGTCTGAAAGAATAAATTCATTTGTTTTTTTAACAGTATATAAACATGTGGTAGTGTAGCAAGCAAATCACTTTATTTTTGTTGTGTTGTTAAGAAAAAAATACTTGGTCTTAAATGCAAGTTAATACTAATATAGTAGCAACATAACTTTCTCCCGAGATGTCATACTTTCTGATCCTGATACCAAAAGCACTTCAGTTTTTCCATTTACTAATTAATTTTCTTCTCCAGTAAATAGAAGAGTGTAAATATTGTTTCATTTTCATGTTGGTCACTTTCAGGGGGCCTTGTGAAGGGCAGTAGATACATGTGGATTATTAAAAATATAATAAATTTATTATTTTAATAATTGTATTATCCAAAGTGGATACTGCTTGGTATTACTTCACGTCACTCTAGTTCAAGTTCTTGTTCTTAGAAGTGTTTTTGGACTCTGGCTTCTGGGCTTTTTGCTGTTCACTTACAGCAAGTCCTTTAAGCTCCTCTACGGCTGCTGCAACACTTGAGAGATCAGACACTGGGAGCATGAAAGAAAATGGATTTCAAGTCAAAGGAAAAATGTTTATTCACTGAATTTACCAGATAGGACAGATTTATCCTTGCCCCGTCTTCTGATTAGATGAAGAATTACTCTAATATTTCAGTATTTCTGCACTTGGAGTTCTGTTGAGTGACCTCTTTATTCAGATGTGGTTTTTATTCTTTCTGTTCATTAGCAACACACAAGACGAGTTTATGAAATTCTCCGATTGCGTGCAACAAATATGGGTGATGCAGAACAGTCCAGAAGCTATCGCTTGGATGTTAAAAGAAGACTGATTGGGCCCTATAAGGTGTATATGACTTAAGTATCATTTAATAGTTATTTCAAGGCTAATTATACTTGATTTTACTTTAATTTCCATAAATGTAGTTGATGCCAATTATGCTGCCAATCAACTACTGTTAGTAATGCAGTGTTCAGCTGACATATATACAGATGCAGAGGACATTTGTACATAGCAGCACTGAAGATCCTGTGTACTGTTTCCTGCCCAGTTCCAGCAGGAGGTTACTAATAAGCTGATGCTGTCTAGCTACAAGTAGCATTATGCCCAGATGGGTTTAAGGGGGGGAAATGGTTAATTTCTTGAAGAGGTTAAAAACATACCTTAAATAGACAAGCCAGAAATTGGAAGAGAGTAAAGTTTACACTGCAGACTAGGTATATTTTTAGATTACATTAGCAAGGAGGTGGTTGCTAAAGCTGCTGGGATCTTTATGCATGTGGCATGACGAGATTGGGATGACTGATGCAACTGAGTGTGTTGCTCTCTGTATAAGTAGTATTAATACAGGAAAGGAAAGATTTGGTATATTAGTTAACAGGTCATCACTCCAAGGAAGTTTAAAGGGTGAGCAGCTTGTGAAATTTCAGTTTCACTGTGGCTTCTCCATTTCTGACAAGCTCTGCATTTTATTAGTAGATTGCGCTGGTAGACATATCTCCTTGATCATGTCTTTATTCTTCATGTCATCCCTTTTGGAAGTAAATACCATTGCTGCACTGCTTTTTGTAATTGTTATACTTTGTTTGCTACTTGAATATGCTTTTCTGCCCAGCGCAGCAACTTGTCCCCAAAGAATCCTCTTGAAGCTGCCCAGGTAAAATGTTACTGATGGCAGTTTTCAAAATCTTGTGTACCTGGATATGCTTCTTGTATATTTGGAGGGGGGAAACGGATATTGAAACAACTGGTTATCTGAAACATGCAAAGAGTTTGCTCTTTAGCAAGATCTGGAACTTAAAGATGGCCTAATGGTACAGTATCACATGTAGTGGGCATTTAAAAGGTGGCACTCTTTTTTCAGAGCTAATGTTTATAATCGAAACAAAGACTCCTGTTAATCAGGCAGACTTTGAATTAATTCTAGAATAAAGTTTTAGTTGTTCTACTGACAAAAGCTTGGCCAGAAGGTACTCATCTCTATTTTCATTTGGGCAGCTCATCATATGTTTTGAGTATATTACTCATTTTTTCTACACAGAGGTAATGTGAATCTAAAATTTAAACATCTATGCTGCTTTTCACATCCTTTCAACAAGGAAAGGCTTCTTGATTATTGGCCAGAAATGTGCTTGAGCACCTCATCAGGGCTTAAGTACAGAAGCTTTTTTCCTGAACTGAACTTTGCCTATCTGTGGAATCTTTGGGATATTGTAAAAGTTTTTCTGGTCTTAATCATTTACAGCTTACTGTAGTTTCCACTCCTCCCTCCTGACTCTCAGCATCAATCACAGAATTAAAATAAATACTCCTTTGAGAGATAAGCGTAAAATTAGAGCACAAAAGTGCTTTGATTTTGAGGCTGTTAGAAATAGAGTAATTTAGTGAAATTTTGTTGTTTTAATACATTGATTCCATAGGTGTTGCAAAGATTTATTGGTAAGATACCAGGCATAGATAATACCTTTTTTTAAATTAAGTGTTGAATGATAGTCTGGTTTTACAAAGCTAGAGAAGACTGAAGAATGAAAGTGCCTGAAGAACTGAATAGTTCAGAAATAGGTATCACCTACATAAAAGTATATCTGGGTAAAGAAAATAGAAAAGTATTTTGAGGTGTTTTTAAGAAACAGGTAAAAATCACATGTGACAGAGCAAGGACAACTCATGTTCCTGTACAAATATGTTTATGCTTATGAATAATCTTACTGCTTTTCAGTGCTGTTACTGCTAGTCCCTGGTAACTTGAATAATTTGTAAGAGTTTGTGAAACTTTTTCTGTGTATTGGAGGCTTAAAATTAAAATTTTGACAGTTATTGGGAAGTTATTTGGCTGAGCAGTCACATAATGGGACACTAGTGTAATTAATGTTAATGGAGGACTAAATATCCTGGTCAGATTTCTACAATCAAATTTTTTGTGCCATACATCTTCAGTAGTAGGTGTACTGTTAGACATAATCTGTTCGGTTAAGGAACAAAATTCCTCCCTTCTCTAGCTCATGGGCAATAGAGAAACTTTAACAGCCTTTAACAGAACAAACATGGTTACTGGTTCTCTTGGGATTAGGGGCATCTTAAAGAACTAGATACTGAAATAGAATAAATTTTAATGAAATGCCATATTCTTGATAATTACTGGCTGTGTTCAAACTACTGTTTGTTTGATTGCTTAGAAAAAACAGAGAGAACTTGCCAAGATGAGAAGGTGTCTAAGACCAGAGGAGATGACTAATCAGTTGAACCAAATAGACCTAAACTTGCAACGTGAACAGTTAGAAGAGAGCTTCCAACAGCTTGTTTCAGATTACCGAAGAGTCCTAGAACGACTTGCACAAGCATGAGGATCCTACTTGTACAGGAAACTTGCAGATATCTATACAGTGTTGTAAAACACATCCTTAATTGCCACTTAACTGCAAAAAAATCTCATGTGACATTTTAATCACATTAAAGGTGACTTGTGTTCCAGTGCATTTTGAATATTTTCTATTTTTGTGTTGTAGATTTAAAAATGTACTTTAGGTTTTGGGGCACTTCTTGACAAAATAAAAAATGTAGATTCTCAGATACAGTGTTATTTCAATTGTATTAATTTTCTTTTACCCTTTTGTTTTGATCAAGACTTAATAGATACTAGTATAGCAAGTTAATATATAAAGCTAAGCAATCTCAAATTTCTCCTAACTTGTTTCTCCTCAGGCTGTTCTCCATGGATCTTGTTGTACAGTGTAAGGCCTGTGCAGGTTTAATGTCATGCACAGGTGACTAGGTTGGTTCTGTGGTCTCTCAGGTGTTTCCTGTGTGCAGACTCTTTACCTTTTGCTAAAAGTGGATCCTGCTGTTGAAGACCCATTCTCTTTAAGCCTCTAAAATGCCTCAAGCACATTTTTCTTCAAACCCTCAAGTTTTCAGGTTTTTGATTTTCAGGGAGAAACCTCACAACTGGGGTACCAACCAGGACTTTGTGAGGACTCCAAAAACACTTCTACTAGTGAAAGAAACAAATCTGTAGGAAGCAACTGCCTTGATATAGTTCCTTGGCTCTGTTCTGCTATCCATTACTTCTCAGACCTGAGGTTAGTTCATAAATATCCTGTCTGTTCTCCCTCAAAGGAATAAATTGTTACCTGTTCTGGTAGTTCAGGCTTTAGAGGACTTAATCTGAATAAGGATTATTGAAATTTATTAACTATGTTTGATGGTCCTAATGGGATTCAGGTCTAGCTTTCAAAACTGGAGCTTGTAGGATGACAGTTCTCCACTATCTGATGTGGTGTGAAAGAAGTGAAATAATTTTTAAGTGTTTCAAATCTGTGGGATTTTTTGTATTTTCTACTAAATTATTTTTAGAAATTTAAAATTCAGATGAGGGTATCTTGGCTGTATGGTACGTCTTTCATCTACTGTGGTATCCAAATCTATTAATAGTAGCAATTGTTAAAAGACCTTTCCTGGTAGTAATAGTAAGGCTGAGGTTAGGTTGGGAACTTGGGGTTTCGTTTTTTTCTGTGGATGGTTTTGGTTTTTATTGAACATGTTCAGATCTTGGTGATAAATCAGAAGTGGGAAAGCTGAAGTGAAGAATTGTGCTTAAATTTGGTTCCTGTGTAGAGGTCCAGGATACTTCTGGGGCAGCCTGCACTGACACCCCCTGAGCTTAAACCATTGAAGAAACTGTAGGACTGACAAGAAGAAACACTGCCTAATGGGCTGTTTGCCCACTTAGAAATTACTGAGCCAAAAAGCGCAAAATTGCTTTCCTTAATCACAATTTCGTTTCCTATTCACAAATAGCAAAACTTCTCTCACACAGTGATGCGGGCATATTCATTTTTTCATGGCAGATCAGATTATCTTTTTTTCTTTTTATGTTGACACAGTTGAAAGAGTTTGAATTAGTGCTTCCAGTTCCTTTAGTGGTTTCATATTCCAGTATGGTCTTGGGAACATTCTAAGATGTTGGGATGTGCCTTTGAACTGCAAAACTTCTTGGCATGAAAAATAGGAATACACTGCTTCCTAGAGGCCTAGAAATTGAATCCTTCCATCCTGCAGCAGATTACATCTTCTGCAGCTCTGCTGCCATGAGAGACCTTGTGAGTACACCCTAATCCATTACAGTAAATTAAGCCAATTATCTGAAGTAATCTTCATCAGCAAATTAAACTAGCCCTGCTGACTTTGCCTGAAGTGGTCTTAACTGTCTGGACTATGCTTTCCCTTGGCAAAGAGAAGGAGGCAATAATCTTGTTGGACAGCTAGAAAACTACAACAGCTCTTCTGACACTGCTGGGGGGCACATGCCAGTTTCCTTCAGCAGGCTTGTGGGGTGCATCTGTTCAAGCTAACATTTCAGAGACTATGCATTTGTGGTATAATTGACTAAATCCCCACATTTCAGGATGCTGCTGGACAAAGTCCTAGCTTGCCAGTCCGGATATTTTGTTGATGATTTTCAACAGGATACCTTCACCTACAAGTGAACTGCAGGATGCTTGTCTCAGAAGTACACACAGCAGCAACTCCAGCTGTTCAGTGAGTCACATTGTGAAATTAAAAAGTATAAAAAGTATTTATAAAAGTATAAAAACTATTTATAAAAGTTTAGTAAGTTTGTGTAATGTTTGTATTTCTGTATTAACTAAGAACAAGAACCTCCTATATTTAAACAAATACTTTGTGTTATAGTACACAACCGGTGTTGTTTGACTTCTGTGTGCTGAGAACACCGGTGAGCTGCTAACAGCTGTCTGTATGGAATTGCAAGTAGGTACTGGAGGGGTTCAATTGTGTGGATTTGTGAGCTGACAAATTAACACTGAGGCTTAGTAGCAGCTCTTTCACACTAGGTTGGGGGCATGAGAATTGGATAGCTTAAGCTGAATGCTGTTGGAGCCCTCTTCTATTCTGGGCACAATATGAGGCTAAAGTAATCCTGGATTTAAAATATTTTTGTTCAAATACTTAATCTGTTATTCTAGGTTTCTTAAGCACTATTGTTCTTTTCAGCTATTACTAGCTAACAGAAATTTAAAGCAAACACTAATAACAGTGTTATTAATAATAGGTTTATGTGACTTTTTTCTGCATTTTGATAAAATCTAGATTCTTTAGTCACTTCACTCAGATTTCAAGTGAAACTTTGCACAACATACTTATAAAGCTTTCTAGAGAGTTTTTTACATTCGAATATTCAGAATGTACATAGGATCATACTTATAAAGTTTTTCTTTGTAGATGCTTCTGGCATCAGGGTGCTGATTTGCCCTTCCATTAGTTAAAAATCCAGCCATGGCAATAGGGAATCTACTTCAAAAAATTCAGTAAAATAGTGAATTTATTTCAATTGACAGACATAAGTTTTCTTCCAATGTAAAGGTATTGTTAATGATGCTAGTGCAAGATTTTGTCCTAAAAGGTAAATAAAGCTCTGAAAAGTGTTTTATGTTCAGAAACCTGGGTCAAACTGTTTCCTTTCAGTTTGAAACATAAAAGTTACCTACTGCAGATACTAGGAAACAGCTTGTTGTTCAACAACTAGTAATCTCAAGAAATACAACAGAATACCTATAGCTTCAGAACTGAGAAAGCAAACTACCAGAATCTGCAGGATTTGAAGGACACTAACTGCTGTAGTTGGAGGAATAAAGGTCTGTGTGTCACTAAAGGAGTGTCTTGGGCAGCAAATGTCTTTGCTTCCTAAGAACCAGCACACAAAGCTGCTATGTGGCAGTTTAGGCAATTCAAGAGTGACCTATTGTCTCTCTCTGCAATAGCAGCAGGAGGGTAAGCAGCCCATAATGTTTGTATGAAGGATTTGTGTGTGCTTATATAGATTTTTTTCAATTCCTTTTTTTGTCTCTCACTGAGACTTTGTTGTTCTTTATGCTTCTCCTTGATCATATTTTATGACTGTCAGACACTAGAAAGCTTGAAAATCTTATGTTGCATATTTTGCCATTTTACCTTTCCTCACGGTGTCAGTTCCGACCTGCTTTCTTCAGTATCAAACTGTTGGAACTAGAAATACCTGTTACTTTGGTAAGCTTATCATATAAAACCCTGGAGTTTTAGTTTTCAAATTTAAAATTATTCTGTAATGCTACTGCTTTGTGAAACATTGCTTGCTAGGATAATTTGGACTTGAAGTTGAAAAAAAAAAGATAGCATAATAAATATTAACATCTACATCTCACAAGCAAGTATGTGTTGCAGATAATTCAATTTTCTGAAAAAAAAGTAGCCTAAAGTCGTAGAAATATTTTCCCCCATGCTATCATTCATGATTTTCAATGATTTCAGCTGGTTTACACTGCTAGCTCTTTTCTCCAATTATCAGAAAGATTTCAGTGTAACACTAGGTTCTTTATATTAAAATATTCCATTTACAAAAGGCAGTTAACCACACCAATGACAATTTTTTAAATTATGAGGCTAAAAATTTAGTCCAGCCAGTAAAAATTGAAGGCTATTACACAAAGCAATACAAATAGATGCAAGCTTGACTCAGGCAGGGCATGCTATCTGCCATCATACTGGCTTATAACTGGTAGGAATGAGCTTGTCTCCCTATCACTTATCTTTTTTACAATGTAGAAAGAAAAATAATACAACTACCAGTTTCTACTCATAGCTACTCATTCAATTACATGCTTACCAGGTTCCTTGTTCCTTGCACTAAAGCCTTCAGTAATATGCATTGCAAGAAACAAGATTACACGCTGTATCTGAGCTTCCTTTTAGATCTAGAATGGTACAAGCTAGGTACAAAGGATCATTAATCTAACAGTTTTCATATTTCCATGTTCAAATATGTTTAATTCTCTAGACCAGAGGCGGAGAGAAAAGGTTGGAAAAAAATGTTCTACATTGACTCTTCAAAGCTCATTTCAGATATGAGGCTCCCACCCAAACTGGAGGAATCTCAGGTAATGACACCATGAAGACAAAGCCTTGGGAAGAGGATTCAGAATTCCCTCTTTGCTGTACAAAAAAAAAAAATACATAGCAGGAGCAGTACTGTGCACTGGTTTTTTTTTCTGAGAGTAGCACTACCTTTTTTCTTCAGTAAATAAAGAACAAGTAATGCTGTAAACATTGCTCACACAGGATGTATGTGCTCCATTTGTGGTTGTTGCACAGTTTGAGCTGAAGAGATAAAACGTGAAGAAAATCTAGATCAATGGGAAAAGCTTGACATCCCTTTTTTGTTTCTAAATGGTAGGGCAATAAGGGAGATATTCCATGTTCAATAGATGCTATTTTTAGATGCTTCCCTTTTCTCTAGTTAGGTTTTTCTCTGAGCTATATGAGGTGTTCATGTTTTAAAACTTCATCGTTTCATAGAAAATAATAAATCTGCCTAGAATGAATTTAATATGATGAGGACCTATAAATATGTTATTTTTCTTTCCCTCAAGGTGTAATGTAAGTTTTATTTTAGTGTAGTTTTACCTGGTTATAAATATTTTGTATCACTAATGTAGGAGATTTCTGGGCAAGTTCAGGGCTCCAAACTCTCTCAGCCTGGATCAGATGAACATCAGTGCTGAAAAAAAGAACACCTATTTGTGATTAGAGCAGGACCCAAACAGCACCAGTCTCATCAGCAAAAGCTGCTGTAGAACTAAATAATCTTTTAAGACAATCTTAGATAGGAAAATCTAAGCCTAACTTCAGAAGTTAAGATCTAAGCCTAACCTCAGCTTCTATACTTAAACTAGAAGCGTGTTTCTGTATTGCTCTATAAAAGATATTGTGTGTCATAAAATATAACTCTGTTGTCTTACAGGCTGTTACAGACTGCTTTGAAACTTTCATGTCAAAACCTAGCTTTATGTCTTCTTTAGCACACATAATTTTAATATTTTTTAGCACAGGCTTATTTTAATATCAGCCTGCCCAATTTTGGGAGGAAATAATGTTGAGATTCTACATTTAGTGTTTGGTGGCTTTCACAGCACAGAACCAATGTAAGTGAGATGGGATGTGGAACATTCTTCAAGGAGAGTCGTTCACACAGATGTGTTGAATAAACCCTGAGCTGAAAAGTAATTTCTCCAAAACTGCCTCTCAACCTGACACTCCATCTTGAGACATCACTGTCCATGTTAAATATTTCAGGGGGATTTGTCAATTCTAATCAAAAGACAATTATACACATAAAGGAGAAAGTGATGTATTGCTTTTGGTGACAATTTGAATGCAGTGGAGTATGATTTTTTTCAGGTTTGCTGTGTTAGGATCTGGTATGTCTCTCTTTTCAGAGATATTCACCCCCATTTTACTGCTATAAAGGTCCTAAAAACTATAAATGTTGTTTTTATTTCTTAGGAAAAGGAGAAAACCTGCATCTAAGCATAAATTAGAGACAACTGTATAATGACTGTTGTTAGGCTTAAGATGCATCCAGAGACTGCAAAAATTACACAGTTTGCTTGAAATGTAATTGATCGTAATTTGATTGATCCTCTATTTTCTGGCATGCAAAAATAATTGGTCCAATCTAACACCTAGTCAGTACCTACAAGTATTTGTGAAATAGCCTGACACTTAAGGACAAGGTAATTACAAAGGTGGTAGCAGCATAACTAGAATTGCCTCCATTTTCTTATGCCATCAACCAATTTTCAGGCTGTTACAAAAAGGAATTCAGGACTTACAGATGCAGAAAAAAACCCAAGCATTCACTTCATTTTCTCTAACAGTGGCCTCATTCTACCGAGTAGGAAATACTTGCTGACTCAAGCAAGAAAGGTGAGACTAGGCCACCTTAGAGCTCTCTGGTTTTTCTCCTTTAGTGACAGTTGAGGAAAATGTGGCTAATTACTCATCATACATGGATACTTTCATGTGAAATCTCTCTAAGCACACACAGGAACTCCCACTCAAGAGTAAATATAGTTGCATTGGTCAAGCAGCAGAATATGTGAATGCTTTACAATGCCCACTGATATTATAGAAATAGTGGTTGTGCATCTGGATTCCTAAAGCCTTGCCAAGATACAAAAGAGGATAGGATTATGCTCTTGAAAGACCATACTACACGGTAGAATTAGGAGCAAAGGGAAGACGTGCACATTTCGGCCCTGCAAATGAAATGTATGCATAGCTCTCACCAGCAAGCAGTGGGTAATGCTGCTCACAAGGTGTAACTGATCAGCTTAGCAATGCTTTCTCTACATTTATTTCTATATGCTTATTTCTGTCAAAATCTTAACCATTCTCCCCTCACTGAATAATGATGAAACATGTCAATTCATGCAAAATGTGGCTCTAAGATGTGGAATAATTTTTTGGAGGCAGTGTAAAGTATTGTATTGATCTTTAAACTAGTATGTAGTCTGGATATAAGCTATATGATAGGCTGCCTGTCATGCTGTGGCAGCTGATTAAGAGATGCACTTTTACTAGCAAAATTTAAGAGAATCACAGCACTTTTTTTTCCTTTTTTTTTTTTTTTTTAATAAGAGAAAGCTTGGAATTTGCTCCTTAAAATCAGAAATGCTTCAAGTGTAACTTTGAAGTTCATACTTTTTGGAGAATTTTTCTAAAGCATGTGTAGGTAAATAATGCTCATCATTCCCATCTGCCTTGGGCTTTGAGTCTATTGTTAACTAAATCATAAAACTTGTACATGGTAAGTTAAAAACTACTAATGGCTGTACCAGGAGGTAAATAAATCTGGAGATAAACAGCCTCAGTTCTCATTTGACAATTTACTTACTTATCCCCCAGTTTACCACTGTGTGTGTACACATGAATGTATGTAAGGATGCAAAGATCAATACATGTGTGTGAGGATGTAAGAAAGGATTATTTGTATTACTTTTATATTTTGGAATGCATCCAGGTGGGTTTTGAATGTCTCCAGAGAAGAAGACTGCAGCCCTTCCCGGGGCATCCTGCTCCAGTGCTCTGCCACCCTCAACATAAAGCTCTTCCTCATCTTGAGATGGAACTTGTGTTTTAGTTGTGGTCATTGCTCCTCATCCTTCCCTTGGCACCACTGGGAAAGGTCTGGCACCATCCTCTCGGCACCTGCCTTCGAGATACTCCTTTGCATTAATTACTTTGTAAAGAGTAGTTCGCATTTTAGTCACAAAAGTACAAGTTGAGGGGAAGGTAGTGGTGTTTGCTTGCTTAGTTGGTTGGGTTTTGTTTATTTTTTAATGGCAAGAAATTATGAGGTTGCTCCAGCACTCATGGATTAGTATGGTTGCAACTCATGCGGGACCGAGTCCCACTTTGGGCAGTTCTGTCTCGTGTCTCCCGCTGGCGGCAGGAGCATCACCGGTGCCGCTAGGGCTGGTGAGCTGAGCGGGACGGGGCTGTATGGAAGGGCAGTCGGCAGCACCGCGGAGCAGCGGCACGGCCGCTCCCGCCCGCCGCCCTCACGGCCGGCCCGGGGCGGGCGGGCGGCGCTCCCGTCAGGCCACGTGACCGCCTCACATGGGCAGCATGGCGGCGCCCAGAGCCGCCCGCGCGCTGCGCAGCGGAGGTGAGTGCGCGCCGCCGCCGGGCTGAGGCGCGGGCCCGGCCGCCGCTCTGCCCTTCCCCCGCCGCCGCTCTGCCCTTCCCCGGCCGCCGCTCTGCCCTTCCCCCGCCGCCGCTCTGCCCTTCCCCGGCCGCCGCCGCGCCGCTGCCCAGGCTGGGCTCGCTTTGAAATTGAGGAGCGAAAGGTCCCGCCGCCGCCGCGCCTACCGAGGGCTGCGAGAGAGCGCTCCGCCGGCCGGGCGTGCGGAGGCGTCCGGGCGGGGGGCGGCGTGTGGCGGGGGCCGCAGCTGTCGAGGCTCGGCTTCTGCCGAGGCGGGTTCCCCCGGCGCTGTGCTCGGCCTGGCGCCGGCACACGACCGCTCCCACCGTCCCGGGGACCCCGCAGTGGGGGAAGGCTGTGGGAACATTTTGATCTCCTTCTGCCGTGGTGATTTTTGCTGCTGAAGTAACCTCACATAAGTATACGTGTTTCTTCTACGAGCCCGTTCAAGTGCAGAACTTTTTACCTGCTGGCATGCCCGTCTGTGTAATGGCTTTTCCGAGCCCCTGGTCCCCCTTTCCCTGAGGTTCTCTGACACTCTTTCTACCGCATAACCTTTCACAAGCTAAAATCATGTGCCCATGTCCTACATCCGTATTCATCCCCATGCACGCTTAAAAATCCAGTGTCAGTCATCCAGTTAAAAACCTAGTGAATTACTTTTGTTAAGCCTTCCTACCTTCCCTTCAGGCATCAAACCTTGTTCAGCTTCCCTAGGGGATATGCTTTTACAGAGACTTGAGAAAGTGAAACTGTCATAGTTAAGACAAGACTGATTAAATGAAATCAAATTTTCCCCAAATCGGACAGTTCAGTATAATTTAATTTGCAAATACCAAAAGACAAAGTAATTTAAATTAGGTTTCTGTTCACCTACGGGTATCTGTTCTACCTTACTTGAACAAAAATTACTTTTTTATAGCCTATTATGTGTGTTCTTTTTAATATAACTGATGTTACATTTTTATAAATGATGAAAGTTCTCTTTACTACAGACTTGTTTCTGCATAAGTACGTTTGAGCAGCAGAGATCTTGGTAATTGTATACTGATTAAATGCTTTCTCCACATATCAGAAGGACTTAGGCTAGCCTAAAAAAAAAGCTTTTATTAAAAAAGAAAATTGACTGAAAAATACTAGGAAATTAAGTACTTTTCAGTACTCATATAGTGAAGCTATTTGAATAGTCTCTGCCTTGCTAATGTCAGAATTCAAACACTTTCAACCCTAGGAGAAGACGCACAACTCTTTAGGGTGTGAGTGATTTCCACAAACCTTTGTAAAATTCTGTATGCTCAAATGCTTCATTTCAGAGTGGACTAGCAGTGGGTTAAACTGCATTTTAGCTGTCACCTTTTCTTGAAGAGTATTTTTTAAAAAATGTACAGGTGATGCGTAGGAGTATGAATTGAATTTACTATTTAGTGAAAGAAAACTAGGAAACACCCAGAGCACAGACACATCAAGTCACTGTCACGGTTTGTAGTTAGAAATAGTATATATTGTGTGCTGATTCACTGACTTGTAAATGGGCTGATTAGATATTATCACAGTTTTGGCTATTACCGTAATTGAATCTGTGCTACTTTATTGGTAATAAATTAGGAGACATGGAAGAATTCTATTTATATCTACAATTGTGTCTTAGATGATTTAAAGCATCTCTTACAGATCTATTTATTTTATACAGGTGAATTATTGTAGAGTAGAAGCCCTTAAATTCTTACAAGGAAATTTCAGGGTTTAGAGCCACAGGGAAATAATTGATTAGAAGACATCCAATGTAAAATGAATTACTTTTGTGTTCCATACTGATAGAACTGAGTCCTGATCCTGCGTCCCTAGCAATGAATAAGAATTATGTGCTAAGCTGTGTGACTTACTGTGGGCCAGGTTTTTCAAGTCAATTCAGCATACACTGACAGGGTGTGATACATCCCTTGTAAATGTAGTTTGTGTTCCTAGGCTGGCTGTTCTCTTGGTAAGGGACTGAGCTGCCTTGTTCAGCCCCTTGTGGAACTGGGAATTTGTCCACAGGCTCCTCAGTGGGGAACCTGGAAACTGCACCTGACTAGAAGCTACAGCTGTCTCCAGCACCACAGAATATGAGATGTTGTGAGGTGCTTCTTCTTCTGTGACTACAGAGCCTTTCAGGATGTTTGTTTTCAAAATTTTTCTGAGAATGTTACTCATTCCCTTCTGTTAGTAAAATGAGGAGGAAATGCATAAATGTTGTTTTAAATCTTTTTTATTTTTTATAGAAACAGAGGGACATAGCTGGAGTTGATTCCATTGCAGTACACCTTCAAAGTCTCACACTTTCAAGTTTGCCCAGAAGTGCCAAGTCTCATTAGAAATTAGTTGGAGTTTGCTATTTTTTTTCCTTTTCTTTTTTAGGCTGTATAGGTCAAAAGTTTGGTTCACAAGTCTTGTCAGTAATGCATGGTTGAGTATTTTCTATATTTCATTGTTAGGTTAGCCAAAACTATGTATATTAAAGGAACAATAAACTCTTCTCCAGAAGGGTATTTATATGAAAATCATGAAACTATCCTGAAGCACTACACAAATTACAAATATTAGCTGGACTAATAAAGAAGGTGAGAAGGTGTAGCAAGTGACTGAGGCAATGTGATCTGGTTTATATGCTCTAGATGGAGTGCAGACAAGTAATTTTACATAGTTTTTCTTTCTGATCAGACATGGCTTAGACATTCATGATGGTAAAAATGAACTTTTAAATTGCCATTTTATGTTGAACTCTGCATGTTACTGTACAGAAGTGTGCTATGGGGTCTCCATCTGGGGCATAATTAAATAAATAAAGTACTTGCTTTACTGAATCTTTTACTGAGCAGTGTTTCTGATACAGTTAATTTCTCACATTCTGCAGACATTGGTAATGCTCATGGTTTTATAAAATTCAAACTTTTCAGTATTTGTAAGAGTCAGTAAAAGGACTCAAAATTAGATTATTTTCTTCTTTTTTCTGAAATCAAAGTATTCATTTCAGATTTTTTTTGCTGCCGTATGCTACTGAATCAGTCCATTTCCATCTTTGTGATGGTGCATTTTGAAACAGGAGTTATATTTATTTTTTTTTTAATGTTATAGCTTGCTCTTTAATAAGCATATTTAACCACAAATTTTAGCATATTAGATACCATTCTCATGTTAAGAATGAATCATAAAAATCTTCTTAGCACTATTAATATTGAAATGGTAGAAGTATCACTTTGTATTTTTCTCACTGTTAAAAAGAAATTCAGAAATGTACAACTCAAACAATTAATACTCATGTATAGTAATTTCCAGTACTTTTAACCTAATATTTTTTTTTAATTAACTATAGAATATACAGATAACAGTTTTGGGGAGACTTGACTGTTTCCTGGTATTCCAGACATGCAATTAAATACGTCCTGTAATTCTGTTTTTTTTTTTTTTTTGGCAAATGAGAAAAAGTGATTTAAAACTTGTGCAAGGGAGTTTTCAAGATCTAATGTGCTTGGCTGCACTGTGCAATATATGAGTATGAGTTGGGCAATTAGCTGGAAGAAAATATTAATTGACATATTCCATTAATTTGTAGACAGACTCATGTCTCCGGAATTAAACATTAGCATTATGAGCTGCAAGTGATGCATGGTGGAAGTTCAAACCATTTGATCATAGTACACTTTCAACATTTTTAAAATGATCCTAAGGTAGTTTCATCCCTGTCTCGAAAATAATCAGGCAGGCGAGGAATTATTCCCATTTCAACTGTGCAGCAGCTCTGGGGAAGACATGCACTTTCATGGTTTGAGGCATGAGAGAAAAATATTCCCCTTTCAATAAAGTGTTAAATCATTCTCTCAGTTGAGAGGTAATGTATTGTTGGCAGCACACTGTGTCTTCTTTTCTTAAAAGATCTATCACTTCTGGCTGGGGGTGGATGTGTAGGGTGTGGTTTCTCTGTGAGCTTAGGTTTCTCAGCATTAGCTAAAAAGTGAAGGAAAGTCATTAGCAGATGTCCTGGAAGCGGCTGAAAACCAACATTTTCTGCCACATCAACAGCTTTAGTGACCCACACCTACTCTTGTAGCCATCCATTTCAGACTAAGACGTCTTTTCTCCTTTGTAGGAAGGTGCCCATTGCCCTGGCACCAGAGCGTCACCA